GTCTTAGCTCTAAAATGTTCAGTTCTAAAACTGTTAATAAACATTCTTATAATATCACATATGCCTTTTGACTTTGAATTTAACTGAACATTGTGTACAAGGAAATACCGGGATATAAGAGGTATATCGTGACACGTAAAAATGATACCGGGATATGAATTTTGGGCCATATCGCCCAGCCCTACACCACACCACGGTTTAGTGTAAGGGCATTAGGACACTTGGCTATGATTGGTTAAGACAAATCACGGGCTGCAGGTGAAGAGGAAATCAGAATTCATGGAGCTCTCTTTAAACTGCAGAAATGTGAGGGGAATTAAAACAGTTATTTCATTACGTTTCGACTCCGTGTCCGAGAGAAGTTAATAACCACTGATGCTCCTGATAACATGATATTGATTGTGTAAGCTGCAGGTTTCTGAAATCTCCATCAGTCACGTGGAGACAATTCTCCTCCTCCGCAAAACATCCTGCTTGTTTCTGTTGATCCCATTACTCTTTCGCGAAACTGAAAACACTAAAGTACACGTCTTAGACTCTACGCTGCGATTCTTACAGATGTGATCTAAAGCCAGAACGAACGATGATACACGACCCCCCAGACTCGCCACCGTGTCTTTAGTCTCGTTATAAAACCGTGTCTATGGACGAAGACCTGAACACTGACCTGTTGGTCGCTGGGACCAGAGGGCGAGCCGGCTCTGTAACTTTTGGCGGGCTCGCTGCTCCGGTGATCCTGGTCCCGGTTCACCTCATTCATTCCGCTCTTGTGGTGGCCCTGGTCGATGAGATCCCGGTCCTGATTCTCCTCTTTAACTTCAATTTTGTAATAGTCCTGTTCAATGAAAATCGAGTCATGTTTCTCCTCCTTTATTACAACTTGATGGAGACCCTGGTCCATGAGTTCCGAGTCCTGGTTCTCCTCTTTAATTTCGCTTTTACAGATGTGCTGGTCGATGAAATCCGGATCATGACTCTCATCTTTAATTCCAGTTTTGCAGTAGTTGTGATCAGTTAAACTCGGGTCCTCGTTCCTGGTTCTACAGCGAGCCAGCTCAGTGAAATCCATGTTCTGATTCTGTTTGTCTTCCTCCTCCTTCCTCTTCTTCCTCCCTTCTGCTGGTCTTCCGGCAGGCTGTACCGCAAAGCGCAATGCTTCCCCCTACAGGAGGGGGGAAGCATTGCGCTTTGCGGGGGGGAAGCCTGCTGACAGTCGCTGCTTCCTTCCAGCCAGACCCCACATTTAGTTTCTCCCGTAACAGATAACCGAACAGAAGAATAGTGTCTACTGCGCCCCCACCCCCTTCTACTAGAGCACGTCTTTTCTGTTTACAGATGGCAAAGCACTCAGATTTTCTGATAGCAGAAATTTGGGAAATTGCTTCATTAACAAAAGCTTCCTTTACGAGATGAACTTTTTCCTTAGTTTTTTCCCCAACAAGTATTAATTGATATTTATAGCTCATTTATTGATAAACATTTCAAAGGAAAATAATGAATTTTCATTCTCATCTGCGGCAAACTGAAGCAAATCTCTGCATTGAAAACAAACAAAAACAAAAAAGTCTATTGGAGCCAAACAAGTCAAAGCATGGAGTCTTTAGTCTTTGAAAGTTCTATCTTGTAGTCTCGCTTTTAACAAATGTCGGGTTTGTTTTGTTGAGAAAGTTTTGAGCGGAAGTCACGTGGTTGCTTGTGGACTAGTGTCGGCGCTGCAGAAACGTATACAGAGGTTTTCTGTGATGACACAAGGTAGAGCAGGTTGTGGACCAGCCTCCACATGTACAGTCTGAATTCCACTAGAAATACTGCTAATTTTAAGCACAGCGACCTGTAACGTGACGGCGTGCAGTTAGCTGGCCAGTGCCTCCGAGCAAACTGCTACGAGCTGATGAACCGTGAGTAGAGATCTGTTTCTGTTATGAGGCTAAAGCGTCGGACTTCATATCAGACCTGTATTTCTACATAGAAATTTAGACCTCGTTGATCTCTACTACGAACAATTACACCTCTGAATCAAACTGAAGTTCGCTAAGCTAGCGAGATCCATTATCGGACACAGTTTTGCTAGCACAGCTGAGCTTTTCCTACAAACCGTCATTTTATTCACAGGCACTAGTTCGGACTGTTCAGAAACGACGCCGGGCTGTGTATAAAGTGTCTGCTTTTAATCCTTCATTTACAAAATCCACATCTCCGTTTAAAAAATTCGAAATCATGGAAACGACAGGTCTTGAATTCGACATAGAGCTGATTAAAGTCTTTAAAATGTGTCACTCAGAATATGGGTCGACACCACTGGGGCTGCTGTTCAGTGTGGTTTGATGCCAGTAACCTGACTCTTGAGATGCGGTAGCATAGACAGAAAAGCAGCTGCTCTATGGTTGGGGTGATGATGGACTGAAGAGAAGGTGCTGCTGAATCTGACACCTCGGGTTTTACAATTTTAGTAATATTATAATAATAATAGTAGTAATAAAAGTGTGCAGCCTGTGTTACATTTGAAGGCAACCTCAAAGTGGCATTTTTGGATGCCACTTGGTTATGTTTGAATTAATTTGTAAATGAAACTGGGGGCTCAACAGATAATTTCACCGAATAAGAACTGAAGTCAGTGACTGACGTGTTCAGGACTGGTTCTGTGCTGTTCATATTAACCAGTTTACAAGAGGACACCTGACACCTGTTGTGCTTAGTTGTTTGGTCCCTGACTCTGAATGAGATGTCTCCTGAGACAACAGACTCTACACTATACATTAATTAATAAACTGAGGTTGAATTTATTATCTAATTATGTTTTTGCAACATCCGTCTGCCACAGCTGTTTCCGCCTGATTTTACACCCCTCGATAATAATGCCTAACATCTCCTATAAACACAACACAGCCTGTGACCTCTGACCCTCAGTGTTTCTCCTGCTGGTTCACCAGATCTCGACCTGCACAGTGTAAACCTGCTGAGGAGACAGTAAAACCACAAAGTCTGCTTCATTTACCCCTAAACATTAATGAAATCCTCTGCAGGGAGTTGACCCCACTAAACAAAGACAGGATGTCAGGAGGAGTCTTACAAAACTACAGAGTGACCATGATGGGTTTTTGAAGAAGAAAATTTGAGGGAGAATATTTATAAAAAACAAAAGATGCCAGTAGATAAGAGAAGGGAGAAGCCACAAGAGGAAGACAAATAAAAATACCAACTCCGGCATCAGTGAAATTTGAAATTTGTTCCAGTGGTGCATTTAAAGGACCCTAAAACCAAAATAAAACTATACCTCTACAGAGTTATTTTATGTTTTACCACAGCAAGAGTGTGCAGCCGAGTCACGAAGTATGGCAGAGTACAGTAAGATACACAGAGCGCGGGAAAGAAAAGCAGCAGTGCAGTGACATGGAAGCTGATCAGAAGTCTTGATGCCTATAAACTACATGGATGCCAGTGTCTTTTAATGATGTACAAACTGCCAGGACATCACTTTTTACAGCATCAAAGATGAAACTCTGCCTAAAACAGCTTTCGGTTGCAAAATCAGCGAGAATTTTTTGGCATATTTCCAGCCATCTGGTGTCACCAGGAGTGTAAAAAGCACCATTCTCTTATGTGGCAGAGAGCCCCGTGGTTTCACCCCTTCAGTCATGGACCAGCACAGACCAGACCAGCACTGGTCTCCTTTGCTTCCACAGGCTACCCATTCATTGTTTAATGCCAGTTGTTGGTGGAACCTAAAGAAAAGGATGAGGCCCTCACTGGATGGTATTTACAAAGGTATTTCTGCCCAGAGCACTGAGAAGAAAGACGCCAACCCCGCTCAAGTGTCAGGACCATAGACCGTATAAAAACATGGGTGACGTGTCACTGCTCCCCTCCACTATGCTAAAGTGAAGGCAAAATATGGTAATTATGACGGTGGCCATCTTTGCATTTTGTAACCAAGTGTTTGAGTGACAGCATCAGGCCGCCAATCAGAGCCAAAAATCTACCAAAATACACACCTTTTATTTCGTCAAATCACTGATTAAAAACCTTACCAGAAAAATGACCACTTCACATGACACTGTAATAATGTTTATCAAAACCCACAGAAGTGACCTCTGGAAAACATTTACCTGGTTTGTACTGAGTTCTTAGTTTGGCTCGGGGCCTGTCCACACCGTGACTTATATTATGACCTATACTGCAACCAGCCACCAGGGGCGACACTGGCACTGCTTATTAGTGCAAGCTCTGACATTCTTTTGCGTGCTCTCTCTCTCTCTCTCTCTCCAGCAGTGTGATGTAAGGCAATGCTCGCTCCGCCACCATGGCCAGTGTCACGCTGCGGTACTTCTGCTATGGCTGCCTCGTCACCTCGGCCACCTGGTCCGTTCTCCTCGTCCTCTACTTCTCTCTGGGGACTGGGCCCACCCACGGCAGGGGCCCCGTGCAGCACCGCAGCCAGCCAGGCACCAGGGGGGTGGACCGGAGGGCAGGGCATGGGCCTCTGCCGGCCAATCAGGGAGTGGAGCTGTCGCCAGAGATGGGTGAGTGAGTATGATATGTTCAGGTGCTGCTGGGAATATTAGCATGCTATGCCAAGAAGTCTCGATTTGATGATCAATAGAGAAATAATTGAACAGCGCAACTCTTTGGATCATTAAATCACTGTTAGGCTTGTTTTTAAATGTTACTGTTTTCTTAAGTTTTATAGAGAATTATGAATGACTGAAGACAAAGAACCAGGGCTGCATGTAAAACTTTAGCTTTATCTCTACCGAGTGCCGTTACATGGTGAAATTAGTACTTTTACTGAGTAAAGGACCCGGCAACGTCTTCCACCACAGGTTATCTGCACTCCAACCAGTAGTCCATTCATTTATTAGTTAGTAGACAGCAGCTACTTTCATAACTTGACAACCATTTTAGTCATTTTCTTAACAAGCTGGTTCAAGCTTTTGTGTTTATCATAAACGACAGTTAATCTCTGGGTCTGGGATATTTTTTGTTATTGTTGACCTGTGATGAAGTTGATTTCTATCCTCTGTGTGTGTGTGTGTGTGTGTGTGTGACATCAATGCCGTAGGGCTGGGGGTCGATCACTGGGTGTACTTGAGACTGACAATGTTGTCACTTGTGTCCTAGGAACCCAGCTTGCCTTTGTCATGATTGCTCAGCTGGGTTCAGGTAATTATCTCAGGATGATTCACCTGCTGAGTGTTTTGTCAATTGACAGACCAAGAATTAGCAGCTTTGTTGATAATTGTTTTTCAGGACAAATGGTGACAATGCCAAAGGTTTGCAGGTTTTAGTTTAGTAACAGAGATTTGCTGCTTTCCTGTGTCATATCTCTGTAAACTGGACACTGGGGGTGTTGGGGTTGAGGACATCATCATCTTGAAGTCAGAAAAACCTTTTACAGTTTTTTGGGGGAATTTCTAGACTAAACAATCAGCAGATGGATCAGTGATGACAGTGTCTGTTTGCAGGGATGATATTTAACGAAGCAGATCAGGAGATCCGGGACACCGGATACCACCGACACGCCTTCAATGTCCTCATCTCTACCAGACTGGGCTACCACAGAGAGCTGCCCGACACCAGAGACTCCCAGTAAGAACCATTAGTGCAGCAGCCATCGCTGCTGGATCAGACACGACACACCGTGAGGTTTCACTCTGGAAATCCTCTGTGAAAACCACACTTTTACACAGCAGCACAGAGAGAAAGCCACTGCAATGTGAACAAAGTTTCTCTGTTCTCACCTTAAACGTACCTGCAGGATTGAGGACATCACAGTCAGGAGCCGCCAGGTCACAAACACAGGTTGGAAACGTGGGGTCATGTTCTTTGGCTCCTCCCGCCTCTCTGTCCTCAACTCTCAGCTCTGATCTGTGTGTGTCCGTGTGTCCGACACTGAATGACGGCCACAGGCAATACATGCAGAGGAGGGAGATGTTAAAACAACTATATGAATTCTGATGCAACTGTAGTGACAGCATGTTGTGAGCAGGGCAGTTGTGCTAAGTTAAGGTAGCTGCACCCCCTCTGGCTTCCCTCACAGCTGCTGTTAACGCTGAGAGGCTTTGTGAATTAACAACTCAGGAGTCCTGAAGTCTTCTCTTTTCAGTTTCATCTACTCGGCCTCTCAGGAGTGACTGTTAGCTGTAGGATTTTTTCTGACCAGTGTCCCACCGATAAAGATGACTTTTAAATACTTAGTTTTTTGTTTGTTTGTTTGAATATGTAGTCTGTGTGTGAAGGGGATGTTTTAATGAAGCTAATTAGCACTTTGAGTCGTATATTACTAGTTATTCACAAAACACTTAAACTGGTGTCCAAACCAGCTGAAGCTAACTGGTGTGTGTAACCAGCTATCAAATATCATCAGGTAACACACACATTTTGTACAGAAAACACCTTTAACCCACACCAGAGTATCAGGCTCACAAACTGAACCTCCCTCCCTTTTCATAATCTGCATTATTGGAATCAGAATCAATCCAGTTTGTGATTCGTGCATTCAGGGTAAAACAACAGGAAGCTTCAGTCTGGACTGCTGTACAAGCTGCAGCATGCTGGCTCCTGGTAACGCCTCTCTCTCTGAAGGTGTCGGGAGAAGGTCCACCCTATGGGTCTACCTTCTGCCAGCGTAGTGATCTGCTTCTTCAATGAGGCGTTTTCCGCCCTGCTGAGGACCGTCCACAGCGTGCTGGACCGGACGCCGGCCTACCTGCTGCACGAGATCATCCTGGTGGATGACCACAGCGAGCTTGGTAATGCCCAGCAAACACAGAACTGCAGCCTTCACTCCTTCCTGCGCACTTCAAAATAAAATTTTTTGGCACATTTGTCCCACATATAATGAAAGGACAGTGACTTGTAAGGTTTGTGTGTTCCAACATGTCTGTGCTGATTCAGAGGAGCTGAAGGACAACTTGGACCGCTACGTCAGGGAGGAGCTGCAAGGCCGACTCAAACTAGTGAGGAACCAGAAGAGGGAAGGACTCATCAGAGGACGCATGATAGGAGCCTCACATGCCACTGGTACGTCTTACGTCCTTAATCTGAACATCCTTATTTCCTAGTTGTTCCCTACATCCTTATTCCTAACTTCCCTAATTCCCTTTTCCTTAAAACTACATCTTTAGCCTGTGCATCCTCACACTCTACATGCTTACTCTACATCCTTGTTCCCTGTATTGTAAACCCTTGCATCCTTTTTCCAACATCATAAACATGTACTCCCTGACTTCCTACACATCCTGATCTGCTACGGTCTGCTACAGAAGACGCCATGTTCAGGTGTAGCTCGGTCCAGTGGGGGATCCACAGTGATGGGACCAGTATAATGTTATGGGCAAGCATTTATTTCCTCCTGAACACTAAATGTTTGGAGATTGTTGTCATGGCGTCTTTCACAGCTCCAGGTTCAACATGTCATGGAGCCATAGCCCTTCAGCCCAGACAGGCTGACTTGCTGGTGGTCACCTCACTTGAGTCAGGTTATACACTCGAGCTGCTGACAGGACAGAGTCAACCTGGCCTCACCCGTGTGCCTGTGCAGGTGAGGTGCTGGTCTTCCTGGACAGCCACTGTGAGGTGAACCAGGCCTGGCTGCAGCCTCTGCTGGCTCCCATCCAGAAGGACCACCACACCGTCGTCTGCCCCGTCATTGACATCATCTCAGCCGATACGCTCACATACTCAGCCTCCCCCATCGTCAGGGGCGGCTTCAACTGGGGGTTGCACTTCAAGTGGGACCCTGTCCCCCCCTCTGAGCTCAGTGGGCCAGAGGGAGCCACTGGACCGATCAGGTAACCAGCTGACTGATACTTTTAGGTGTAAATTTCTGCCCTGTTTCTAATGTGTCGTCACCCCCACCTCCCCCTCAGGTCTCCCACCATGGCAGGCGGGGACTGTTTGCTATGAACAGGAAGTATTTTAATGAGCTTGGCCAGTACGATGCTGGCATGGACATCTGGGGTGGGGAAAACCTGGAAATCTCCTTCAGGGTGAGAAAGCCTGTTTTACTGACGGTCAGTGAAGTTTCAGTTCATCACGCTGGCTGTCGTAGGTCGAGTCAGTGCTTCAAGTTTCACACGTTTTGTCAGACCAACATCAACACTTTAAAGACTCAGACTCTGAAGTTTTGTTTGTCTTTTTTGATGGGGTGTTATGTGATAGTAGACTGTTTATGTGGTGGACCGTAGGAAGAAGAGCCGATGCTCACGCTAATAAACAAAGAACAAAGTATTTAATACCTGTGTTTAACGTTGTCTTGACAAAAGGCTGAGCTGTTTGACCAGTTTCCTCTCTGTGACCGGCCGACCGGTGCTCACACTGTGTGCATGTCTCTGGCTCAGATCTGGATGTGTGGCGGTCAGCTGCTCATCATTCCCTGCTCCAGAGTCGGTCATATCTTCAGGAAGAGGCGGCCCTATGGATCACCAGGGGGACAGGACACCATGGCCCATAATTCCCTGCGACTAGCGCACGTATGGATGGACGAGTACAAGGTGTACGCACAAACACACACACACACAGAGCAGCGATAGGGCAGCTGAAGCACCCTCTGACCTCCCTTCCTGTGTCTCTGTCCTCCAATCAGGAGCAGTATCTGTTTCTGCGTCCAGAGTTGCGTGAGCGCAGTTACGGTGACATCAGCGAGCGCGTGGCGCTGAGGAAGCGGCTGCAGTGTCACTCGTTCCGCTGGTACCTGGACACGGTCTACCCAGAGATGCAAACTGCAGCCAGCAGCCACAAGCAGCAGCAGCAGCCACTGTTCCTCAACAAGGGTCTGCGACGGCCCAAAGTCCTGCAGAGAGGACGGGTACGAGATGGACACGCACACCCCCACACTCGTGATACTGTTTTAGACAGTAGACATAAAACTTCATGGAATTAGTTCAGCTTTAGTTTTTGTCCCCACAGTGGAGGTTTCACACCAGCACCACCACTAGTGGTTCACCTGCTGGGTGTTAATCTCCTTTGATTTGTGTGACCTTGTTGCTTTGTTGCTCCGCATTGATGTGGACAGTAATCGTGACATGTAAACATTTTGCACACACTGAGCAAAATAAACAAACCACAAGCACGTCCTTTGTGTCTGCCATATTTCAGCTTCGTAACCTAGCAACCAGGCATTGTCTGGTGGCCCAGGGCAGAGCCAGTCAGAAGGGCGGGGCCGTTGTCCTGCGATCATGTGACCCGCGAGACCCCGAACAGGTGAACTTGAGGTTTTTACACAGTGCTGGTTTAGGCCTAACTGAGACTGCCTGTGCTGAATGTGTCACATGACCTATATGTTTAGGACTGGGTCTATGATGAGGAGGGGCAGCTGGTCCTGGCAGGTCTGCTGTGTCTGGACGTGTCGGAGGTCAGGACCTTCGACCCCCCAAGACTGATGAAGTGCCACGGCTCGGGGGGGTCGCAGCAGTGGAGCTTGGGGGTGAGACGCTAACACACACACATGACGGGAGTAGAAAAACAGGAGGCCTTCTCCCTGTGCCTCTGTTCTGGACACTGATTCTGCTTTTTAATCGGGTGGTAAATCAGCACAGTTCAGATGGGGGAAACAGACGAATAGACATTAGCTGCAGACACGTGAAGCTTGACTCAGACTTGAATTCAAAGACATGACTCTAATCTGGAGGCGTGACTGGGACTGATGAATGTGTCTGATCCAGGTCGAGACTCTCGTATCTCTCTGTCTCTGTCTTGTAGAAGTCCAACCGGCTCTACCAGGTCTCGGTCGGTCAGTGCCTGTCCGTCACTCAGCCGATCGGGCTGAAGGGTTACGTCTCCATGGCGATATGTGACACCTCACAGGTGCAGCAGTGGCAGCTGGAGGCCTGAGAAGGACCCACATCTCCGTGTGATGGACGGACGCCTTTGGTCCAGTTTGATTTTAAGGACAGTCAGATTTTATTGATGCGAGAAGACTGTTTTAGGTGTTTTTACAATTTTCGTGTTTATTCTCGGAGCAGCTCTGGATGACTTCAGCTGACTGGCAGAGCTGATTTTGTTTATCAAGACTCATTTGTCTCTGAGCTGCTGCTAAAGACCGGATGGGACCGGTCCTGAAATACTTTGACTGTTGGAGAGATGGTTTCTAGGAACTAACTGCAGGAGTTTCTTCATCTGTTTGTTTGTCAGGTCACAATGTCTTATCCTGGAGTACGAGCTCAATGAAGAGTCTGGGTAGAACAGCTCATTATTTTTATTTTTTAGTGTTTTAAAATTATACAAATACGACTTCCTCTTCTGGAAACTGATGCAGCGATTAAGCCAGTCCTGGATTTGTCTGTGAAATGGGTGAAAGCTGGAAACAGTGATCTGGACTGGCACTAATGGAACAAGTTGGTGTGTAACATATCTTGTGAATAACAGTGATCTCACTTCATTGGACAACATGTGGTCCAGGCCTCACTGACACTGTTACAACAGCCACGTTTTAACATTTGTCTTTGTGTCGTTTTATTGTCGATCAGTCTTCGGCACATCCTCCATCCCTGACAACATCCTGGTGTTTTTCACCAATCCGTGAAACGCCGTCGATCTTCTGTTGTGCAAACAGTTTTAGTGTGATCTGGGTCTTATGTTATGATTGTGATACTGAAGCAGTCTCATATCTGCCTTCTGATCATCACAGGCACAAAAATAAATCAAGATGTCTAAATAGTTATTTTTATAAGCTTCTCTAATTTTAATTCTTCTCAGACTAGAGGCTCTAAAAGCCAAAAACAAGTTATTTTCATCTTGTTTTCAAAACAGGAGAATTGTTGTTAGAATTATTGTTAAAATTTAAAAAATTTAAAAAAGAAACCTCGTCTGTAAAATCAGTCTGTCGGCGTACCTCTCACTGATGGACAGCGGGTGTCACCACTGTGTAGAAAAACCTTCACTTAGCTTTGAGCAGGTTTCCAGGAGTCCTTAAGGAGCCTTTATGGGGTGTGGGTGTTTTGGACAGATTCCAGGTCCTTGATCAGGGCCGGGAGGCCCTTCAGGTCAGAGGAGGATGGAATCATCCTTGAAGAGGTCCTTCTAAAGCCCCATATAGCCTTAAAAAGCCTTTATGGGGCCTTGAGGAGTTTTATAAGAGTAGAGTGAGGCCTGTAAAGGCTTCCCGTTGAGCTAAAGACTGATTTAATGTGGGTTTTCCTCTTCAGCCGACCACAGAAGTCAATACTGTGTGTGTGTCGTGCAGAGTAGGTTATTGATGGGAACTGACAGTTAATTATTTCAGGGCTGAGTCACTGGAAGCCATTAATTAGACTCTTATCACAAACACACCGATTAACCTTATTCACCTCTGTGTCGGAACCTAGGGACCGCTTTAACACACACACATTGGTATTTCATATTTCCAAAAGTATATACAGTATTGTTCAAAATAATAGCAGTACAATGTGACTAACCAGAATAATCCAGGTTTTTAGTATATTTTTTATTGCTACATGGCAAACAAGTTACCAGTAGGTGCAGTAGATTCTCAGAAAGCAAACAAGACCCAGCATTCATGATATGCACGCTCTTAAGGCTGTGCAATTGGGCAATTAGTTGAAAGGGGTGTGTTAAAAAAAATAGCAGTGTGGCATTCAATCAGTGAGGTCATCAATTTTGTGAAATAACAGGTGTGAATCAGGTGGCCCCTATTTAAGGATGAAGCCAGCACTTGTTGAACATGCATTTGAAAGCCTGAGGAAAATGGGTCGTTCAAGACATTGTTCAGAAGAACAGCGTACTTTGATTAAAAAGTTGATTGGAGAGGGGAAAACCTATAAAGAGGTGCAAAAAATTATAGGCTGTTCAGCTAAAATGATCTCCAATGCCTTAAAATGGAGAGCAAAACCAGAGAGACGTGGAAGAAAACGGAAGACAACCATCAAAATGGATCGAAGAATAACCAGAATGGCAAAGGCCCAGCCAATGATCAGCTCCAGGATGATCAAAGACAGTCTGGAGTTACCTGTAAGTACTGTGACAGTTAGAAGACGTCTGTGTGAAGCTAATCTATTTTCAAGAATCCCCCGCAAAGTCCCTCTGTTAAAAAAAAGGCACGTGCAGAAGAGGTTACAATTTGCCAAAGAACAAATCAACTGGCCTAAAGAGAAATGGAGGAACATTTTGTGGACTGATGAGAGTAAAATTGTTCTTTTTGGGTCCAAGGGCTACAGACAGTTTGTGAGACGACCCCCAAACTCTGAATTCAAGCCACAGTACACAGTGAAGACAGTGAAGCATGGTGGTGCAAGCATCATGATATGGGCATGTTTCTCCTACTATGGTGTTGGGCCTATTTATCGCATACCAGGGATCATGGATCAGTTTGCATATGTCAAAATACTTGAAGAGGTCATGTTGCCTTATGCTGAAGAGGACATGCCCTTGAAATGGTTGTTTCAACAAGACAATGACCCCAAACACACTAGTAAACGAGCAAAGTCTTGGTTCCAAACCAACAAAATTAATGTTATGGAGTGGCCAGCCCAATCCCCGGACCTTAATCCAATCGAGAACTTGTGGGGTGATATCAAAAATGCTGTTTCTGAAGCAAAACCAAGAAATGTAAATGAATTGTGGAATGTTGTTAAAGAATCATGGAGTGTAATAACAGCTGAAAGGTGCCACAAGTTGGTTGACTCCATGCCACACAGATGTGAAGCAGTTATAACAAACTGTGGTCATACAACTAAATATTAGTTTAGTGATTCACAGGATTGCTAAATCCTAGAAACAAAAACGTTTGTACAACATAGTTTTGTGTTTGTACAGTCAACGGCAGACACTGCTATTTTTTTGAACACACCCCTTTCAACTAATTGCCCAATTGCACAGCCTTAAGAGCGTGCATATCATGAATGCTGGGTCTTGTTTGCTTTCTGAGAATCTACTGCACCTACTGGTAACTTGTTTGCCATGTAGCAATAAAAAATATACTAAAAACCTGGATTATTCTGGTTAGTCACATTGTACTGCTATTATTTTGAACAATACTGTATAGTCGAGTTTAAACTGATTTTTTAAATTATTACTTCCTTTGATGCACAACACTATCTTTAGCATATATTTATTTACTCCGAACTTGGTGTCCCCGTGGATGTCCACACAGCTGTCACTGCATCACTATGAGACTAGAGGAAACCTACAAACAGGAGGATTCTCAGGCAGGTTCTGCAGCCTCTGCTCCTCTGGTTTCTACATGAGTTTGTGGGGGGACATCAGAGGAGATGAGATCCTCAGGAAGAGGACATCACACCGAGTCAGATCAACGTGAATGTCATGTCTGTGCTCACATCTGACTGAGTCAGGACTTTGAGAAAAGTGTTTTACAGTAGTTCACAGGACAAAAGCCTAGCTGTTCTGCATTGTGATCATTCTTACTGGTTCTGTTCAACAGTTTGTGGAGCTCACAGGAGCTCGGTACACCTACAGTACCAGGGTTTGTTGATGGTGATCACAGCGTAGTCTGATTTGTGTTAAACCTCCATCTCAGCTGGGACCAGGAACTTCCTGCAAACTGGTGCCACTTGGGAAATGGTGGTCCTTCAGGGTCTCCAGGAGCCCTGGAGGATGTTCAGTTGGTGCTTGAACAAGTTCCAGGAGTCCACGAAAGGCTTCCTGGGTTTCCAGCCATCCATGAGGAGAGTCCAACGCTCCGAGGTGGATGTTCCTGGAGTCCCTGAAAACATTCTATGGGTTCTGGATGCTCTCTGGAGTTTTTAAGACATTTCCAAGGTCCTGGAGGAGTTGACGCGTTTGCCTCATGACAAGATGAATGTAAGTCCAACATTCAATCTCTTTTAGCTCAGCTTTTTCTCCACCAATATCTGTGCTTTAGAAACAGCATTTATACGCATGGTTTTTATCCTGCAGTAGACAGATCAGTGACTGCTGTCCTGCTCTCAGGTCACTCCTCCATTGTGGATCCACAACAGAAGAGTCTGACAGCAATGGACTGCCATGTACTCATCCCAGCTCCAGGAACAGTTATCAGACGATGGAAGGCCAGACGGTTAGAACAATGACCACACAGCTGAAGACAGGTCAACAGGCTTGAGTTCCCATTTAAATAACCAGGTGTGTTTAACTCTTCTTTTCTGTGTGTGAGTGTGTGCGTGTGTGTAATCAGCACTAAGTGCAGAGTGTTTCTGGACAGAGACGATCAGCCGCCTGCTGCAGATCAATACAGCCATCAATACTGGGAATGGAGGTAGAGCTCTAACGGGTTATTATCTCTGTGTGTGTGTTTGTTTGCGTGCATTTTCACGACTTCACTATTCAAAATGCTGGTTTCTACAAACAGTAAAAATGTTGAGTTCAAACTCTGGTCATCACACACAGACACAGTTTTAAAGCATTTTCCCACCAACCCCATCCAGAGACCAGCAGCACCAGTGGACGTGGTGTCCTCACTGTGATGTGAGTCCAGACCCTGGTCCAGCTCATCGCTCTGTGCCGTAGACCTCCCCTGTTGTCCACCAGCTATTAGAGCCCCCCAGTGAGCCACAGCGCTGCACTAGGGAGCAGGTTTCCACTTCAGAAAACATTGGAGGCTGTCTGTTTCCAACAGCCAGCTCCAAGATGTGGTTCTGTGCAGCAGGGAGCCAGTGGAGGAGCTGGCATAACCAGAGCAGAGACCTGCGCCTGTTTCTTCCATCAGACACTGTGCACAGTGGCGACCGTTCTTGGCCTGTTTTCACACGTTACAGTGGGTGCATCACATTCACTGTTGCTGTTGGACTGGGATTGGCCTCTGGACCAGATTTGTGCACAGGAAAACACAGTGGCGGGCTGCATCCTGTAAATTCATGGTATCCCTGCAGCGTTCGATCCTGACTGAGGTCATGAAACCTCGTTGCCTCTGTCCTTCCAACACATCCAGCCTGACCCACAACACGTTGTGTATCATGTATTATGATTCATCTCATCTTCAGATGTAATTGTTATGATTGAGTTTCAGCTTCAGAGTCTAAGTGTGTAGGTAAAGTGATCTGATGCTGGAACACACTTTCCTGTCTGTAGCAGGCACTGCACTGTGGCTAATATATGGCACAAAATGATATTACATTTGATTTCAGGCCCCTTTCTAGACACCCAAGACCACTTCACACTATAATAATGCCAATTTCAATATGGTAAAAACAAAACAATAAAAAAATGAGCAGCAATGAAATAAACAATAAACAGCAATAAGACATCAATAATAATAACTAGAGAAATGCATTTCCTGTCGTAAATGTGTGTGGATGCTAATAAGCTGAAAGATCATCCTGAAAATGCCTGAAATCGATTGCTGAAACAGCTGAAAGATGAGAAGAAATGGCTGAAGTTCTTTGTTGAATTATCTGAAGGATGAGATGCAATAAAGTAAGAATGGTGTGAGCATGTTGTGTGTGTGTGTGTGGTGGGGGGGGGCAGAGAGAGGAGTTATATAGTGGCATGTCCCAATTGCACTGCATTTTGAACCACCAGATGGCACTCCTTGACTCAGCACTTTGAGCTCCCATTGACTTGTATTGCAAAAAATAAAGCTGAATAGATTAAAAAGTATAAATGTTATAAAAAAGTTGAGTAGAAGCTGGGATGTCCTTGAAAAGTTGAACACGTCGATACCTCAATGGCCTATATAGCTGAAAGTATACTGGACTTATAAAGTGCCAAAAAAAGGGTGGAAGATCCCAGAATAATAAAATGCTTTACGGCATCCACACAATAATAGCTGAACATCATGACGTGTCGGGGTCTCAGTATGTGGATGTAAACCGGATCCTGGAGCTTCGCACTGACTAACATTAGTTCATATGAGACACCTGGCACTGTTGGAGCGCCACATTTGGCTCTCTGAGTGCTAACGGCTACCCTGCTGATGATGATCCGGTCTCCAGGTTCTGTTAGCAGATAGTTTTATGGCCTGATCCAACACAAAGAGCCACTGACATAGTGTCAAACTGTCAGCCAACATCTGCACCTTTAGTTTGGACCTCCTTATATATAGTACGTGCGACTGTGCCAGCTGCCAGGCTAACTGATGCACAGTGATCTCACGTTCACCTGGTGGCGCTCGCTACCTGGCTGCATGTGCATATACTGTATGTGAGCATTCATGGATCTTCACAGTGAAGGGCAAAGACCTGACGTCGGGCCTTTCTCTGGTCCGTTGAACTTTTTCACGGCAGACAGTTTGTAAAGACCTGACATTGTCTCTGGAAAAGCTCTTTAGTCCTGCTCCTGTGTCCTTCCCTTCATGTCTAAGGCCTTCAGAGGATGACAGAAGAAACCTCCAGAAACGAGCGGACATGTCCACACGTCCCAGGCGGACACCTACACGGGGCGATGGGTGGGGTGGAAAGCTTCTGAACGTTTCTGTGCTGCGTTCAGGGACCACATGCAGGCATGTGTCCGGTCAATTCAGCCTAGTGAGTAGCATGAAAGCAGCTCAGGCTTCCATTGATTTCCGTTCTCGTCAGACAGATCATAAACTGCTTTAGTCACGTTGCTGCACACGTTTTCAGCGCTGTCAGAAAATGATCGCAAAGATTTCCACCAACAAACAAACAGCGCTTAATGACCCGGGCTGTCTCTGGAGCACATCGCGAGACTGGCACTTTGTCCTATTGTCTGTCCGTGTCTCATGCTTTCCTCTATTTGCATATTTGGAAGAGATTGTGGTGTTACTGAAACACTTTGCATCACTTGGCACCCTTCATACGGCTCATGCGATTCAGTGCTTGGTATATGTAGTGTATTTAAAAAGGTTTTAATTTGTTACAATACGAATCAGTGTCCGCTAATTGTGTTTAACCTAGCTCAGCTGTCGCCAGTGTGGTGCGTCTGTGTGAAGCCAGTCTGAGTTTCACATCTTCAAACAAACTGTAAAGGTGTGTGACCCACCCGCAGGTGACTCCTGCTGCCTTGTTGGTGCAGGTTTTGTTTGTGTGTTAGTGTTGTCTGCTGGCTGCTCTCGTAGCTTTAACACGGTTTCACTGTCACTTTGCAGTGGTGTCGAGTCAGCAGCAGATGCACACATCAGCTCCAAGTAAAAGCACATGGCAGTGAAGAATCACAAGAACCAGGCCGGCAGGAGGACTGGTTCATGTATCGACCAGCTGCTCTGCTGGGAACCAACCAGCGCCTCGGTCGTGTAAGTGAATTACAGGGGCTGAGAGCGCGCCCCCCAGGGCGTAATGAAAGCGGAGGTTACAGCTGGGGCTCCGCAGGGCCGATCGATCGGGGGCGAGCAGTGGATGTGGGCAGCGTCCGCAGTCAGAAACGCTTCCTCCGCCTCAGGCTTCACATCACATGCGAAACATGGAAAGAACCACAGCCGGAGCAGGGCTTTTACTTTGAAAACCAAAATTCAGCGGAGCAGATCTTTACAGAACGTGTTTTCATTTTAAATTTCATATTGCACAACCCCAAAATAATGACAGCCCACTCGGCGGCGGTGTGGATGCTCGGGGTAGTCGCCGTCCTGGTGGGCGCCGGCATGAACGGAGCGCACGTCGTGGTCGGTGCCGGGGTTGACGGAGCGCGCGTCCTCAGCGGTGAGTTGAGAAAATGAAGTTCAAGTAAATAAGTAGGATTTATCCCACTAACAAGTGGCTCCGGTTTGGCCTGTTTTTCTTTCTTCGGGTGGTTTGTTTTTTCTCTTAATCTGACTTTTAGATGAACCCTAAAAGAATGTTACAAATGAGAATGTGTCAGGTTGGTTTGGGTCATCTACATCATTTTTTAAAATCTTGACTTAAGGTATTTATAGCTTTAAACTTCGTCGCTGAATTTCAACCTGAACGGGAGAAACCGACAGCAGGTGACGGTTCGTCCGAAAACCGGTGTGTGCCTGTAACGCGAACTAGCGGGCGACCGTTTAGTCTGAGTGTATAGCTGTAAATATTAAATAAAGGCAAGTACTGGCCAGCGTTTTATGTGTTAATAATATTGTTGTTACAAGCAGCTAAAGGTTTGAGGCGCTTTTCTGAAAGTCTGTTGAAACGACTCGTCCCTGCTGTCTCCTGTCAGGGTGTTTTTGTACCCGTGCCATGTGCTCATGGTCATGAGCAAATAGAAAATGAAAAACCACAGGCGGTGTTTATTTAAGAAGATGTAATGTTTTATATTTGCTCCTTGGAAACCCTCTGTCACTCTATTAAACTGAAATTAAATTTGACCTACTGTTTCGGTTTAAATGCTGCTGTGACCATTGTGTTATATATAAATGTAAATCTCTTCGACATTTCGACGTACTTGTTTTAACAGTTTTTCAGTAGCAGGACAGGAGCTGAGTTAGAGACCGTCTTTGTCCCTGAACACGCCGGCAGCACCGACAGTGATGGGTGAGACGGCTAAGCTGGGTTTAAGAGGAGGAGGAGGAGGAGGACAGATGTATGTGGAGCTCCTTGGTGGCTTTAACAGCAAAGTGATGACGGTGCAGAAGAGAATCCAGCTAATCACTTAAAGTGGCTCTTTTAAACAGACGCAGCATTAATCACTGCAGATACACTGTCAGTGTTTTCAGCTGCAGTTTTCTTTCTGCACAGGCACCAGTCACTGGTTTAGAGATGGTTGAGGAAGAAGGCAAGTGGGAAATTCCTAGAAAACAAATGAGGAGGAAGCTCCCTACCCTAGCTAGGGATCAAGGATGAAGGAACAGACTTTGTCAGGGATCAAGTCAGCCAGGCTGTGTCCACATCCAGCTGCAGGATTTATGCAATAATGAACCTTCCTAGTTCGAGATTATGCAAGAAAGCAGCCTCCGGTTGAGGGATCAAGTGAGAAGGAAGCCTACTTGTTAGAGACAAGGGGAAAGGAAACCTTACTTAAGAGTTAAGAGTCACACAAGAAGGTAGCTTAGGACATAGTCCAGAATCAAGAAACTAAGAAAGCTCGCTGGTAAAGGGAAGGAAGTCAGGATATGAGGCCAGAGACTACCTGGACCATGACGGTCTCTCTGTTCCTCTCAGGTCAGACAGTGTGCTTGGGCGGCCCGGAGCATCACTGCTATAAGATCGCATATTTCCATGATGTGACGAGTCGTGTTGCGTTCAGGGAGGCACGTCAGGCCTGCGAGATGGACAACGGGTCTCTGCTAAGCATCGAGAGCCCAGTTGAGCAGAGGGACATTGAAAAGCTGCTGCAGGTGAGGCAGACTCCTGGTCTTCTTCATCTCCTCCTCCTCTTCCTCTTATCTTTGTCTTCTTCCTGCTCATCATCCAGAAGCTGCGTTCAGGAGCGGTGGGTGATGCAGGAGGAGGTGGTATAGCAGACGGTGATTTCTGGATCGGTCTGACTCGGGCGGACGGAGTCGACCAGACTCATTCTGAACTCAGCAACAGCCTGACTTCCTGTCCGCAGCTGTACCAGTGGACCGATGGCAGCCCGGCCTTGTTCAGGTGAGTGTGGTGGTGATGCTGCACCAGGTGACTTCAGACCCCACCTTCAGTCTGTCACTTTGCATCAGCAGGCACCGAGTTAGCATTATATCACATGGTCCAATACATATTTAGCACCAGTCTGCAGGGTTTCTCTTGTGGTTGTGTATCCATGGCCATATTCAGCTGCTCTGGTTCCCAAGGGCATTACTTTGTTGTTGGGCCCCTGTGGACCCACACGTTCCATGTCCTCTGTCAGATTTTTTTGTGCATCATTTGATTAAAAAATGTCAACTTATCAAATTAAAGTGAGACCAACATAAAGTAAGATAAGATGATGTCTGCAGCCGGTGACTCTGTTTGTGCTACTCTCCACCAACTTTGTCCAGAGACCAGCACCACCAGTGAATGTGGTGTCCTCACCGTGGTGTGAGTCCACACCGTTTTATCCCTCTGTTCTGTAGACCTCTACTGTTGTCCACCAGCTATTAGACCCCCCCAGTGAGTCACACCGCTGCACTGGGGGGCAGGTTTCCAGCAAACGGCTCCACAGAGAGTCACTGGTTTCTGCTCGGGTTACTCCACCAGCTCCTCACGCTGCACAGAACAATGTGTTGGAGCCCTTTATTGAAACGGAGGCCTTGTCTCAATCAGATGAGTCACCCACACCAGTAACCAAAGGGGGCAGGGTTTACAGAACAGGTGATTTGTTACTGATGATGATGATGGTGCAGGAACTGGTACTTTGACGAGCCATCCTGTGGAGGAGAGGCCTGCGTCGTCATGTACCATCAGCCAACTGCTGTCCCTGGTCTGGGCGGGGCTTATCTCTACCAGTGGAACGACGACCGCTGCAACATGAAACACAACTTCATCTGCAAATACAAACCAGGTACAGCCGGCCAATCAGCCACACTCTGCTGAGCAAATGAGCACCAGCAGTTTGTTCTTTCATTCTGTCATTTCTATTGTTCTGTTGTCTTTTTCTTTCAGAGAGCCATCTTGTGACTGAACAAAGTGACACACCTGGAGGGCGGGGCACAGGTGAGGAGGAAGGTTCACTGCAGATGACTACAGATTTCTGGAGGCCACCGGTCTCAGAGCAGCGAGGACTAACGTTTCACCAGACATGGGCGGAGCTAGTTTTATCCGTTGGCAGCAAACGTTGGGGTCTCAGTATGTTGATGTAAATCCTCAAAGAAATGTACTGTTACAGAAATACTGGCACAGAGCTGCAGTGGTTGATTAATTGATGAGCAAACTGACAAAAAAACAATTATTTGATAACATTAATTGATCTGAGTATTTTCTTAAAGCTGTGAAACTCTCTGGTTTAAGCTTCTCAAAGGTGAATGCTTCAGTGTTTAAGACATTTCTGAGGAACAGGTGCTGTGTCTATAGAAACCTTATGTTGTGTTAGTGTTACTTTGACTAAACAGAGGATCAGTGCACTCATGAGAACATTGTTACAGAATATTATCTAAAGTTTCATAGTGGGGATACTCTGCTCTGAAATTAGATTTAATTTCTAACATACAGTATGATGCTTAAAATATATTCGACCTGCTACGCTGAGCAAAAAAAGGTGCGAGCAGTGCCATGTGGCATTTTATGATGCGGCCAGATCATAACAGCTCAGATGTTAATGGTTCCCAGTAGATGAATCCTCCTGAGTTTGGTGATGCTCTGACCTGTTGTCTGGCGCCCCCATCAGGCCAGACTGTGTGTGACAGTTGTGTGTTGTGTGTCCTCAGAGTTGATGGCAGGTGGGGTCACACAGTCTGCTGGTGTTGAGGAGGTTCCCCCTCAGGTCACCACGGCTGGAGCTTCAGGTACGAGTAGCTGACCATGTCTGGAGTTCAACACAAACGCTGCTGAACACGCAACGCAGGTCTTGGTTTCCGACTCGTCGACCTGTAGTTCTGCTGTTTTTAACCCTCTGAAGTCTGTTTTAGTTTTTGACCCTCTGATGTTGTTTTTAAAACATTTTTGACTGTCTTGCATCTATTTCTTTAGATTTTATTTTGACCATCTGTTCTGGTCCAGTATCTAACTGTCTGTCTCTCTTCAGGTATGTTACTAGTGTATGTGATCATTCCCACAATCCCCCTCCTGCTGCTCATCCTGGTGGCTTCTGGGACATGCTGTTTTCAGATGCTCAGTAGCAGGTAAAACTCCATCTCCCAGCAGCCCCGTGTGCATCACTTCCTCAGTGATTGACGGGTGTTGTTGACAGAGCGCATTTACTACTACAGCAGCTGGCTCGCTGCCGAGTTGATCCCTGACACCAGGTCGGGTGTGTCCAGCAAAAGCTGGTCACTGAGGCGGCGGTTCATATTCAGTTGCGCTGCTCCTATCAGGTCAACAATATCTGACCAAACTGAGCTGAGGAACAGTCGTTTCCATTTGATATTAGTGGAGCATGAGCAAGAAACAGTAGAAACCACCCAGGCAGTAAAACAAAGCCTCAGCGCCGGTGGAAGTAAAGGCCAATTGAAAATACTGTACAAAATACTTTGTTGTGTTTAAAAGTTCTCTACTGAAAATGTTAAGTACAGAAGTATTGTCAGCAAAATGTTCTTGAAGTATCAAAAGTAAATGTACTCATTACGGAGCAGTTGCTGAGTATGAGCTTACTTTACTACTTGACATCCTTCACTCCCTCCTTGCCTCCTAGCTTCTTTCCTCACCAGCTCCTACTATTTCCACACAGCGACCCCCACTCCAAGACCACCACCGACCAGTCAAACCTGTGGATCTCCAGGACGCCCAAACCTGACAGCATGGAGGTCTGACATCCTGGTGACATCACACTGCTGGTAGAGGGATGACATCACTTCTGGTCCAAATGATCATCATCACTGTGTGGTGCATTCAGGAGCAGGTGGACGGCATCGTCACAGAGGCTTTTTCCTAATCTTTCTATTTTCTGCAGGTTCATCACCATTATTACTGTGTATTTATACTGCACTTGTACTACAGAGTACACCCACTATTGCACCAGGATTTCTTTTCTCCCTCCATCTTTATTTCCTTTCCTCTCCTTCCCTTACTTCCCTCCTTTCCTTTTTAAATCCTTCCTTTTGTATCCCTTCCCTTCCTGTCTTTCCTTTCCTTCCTTGTCCCCTCCTTACCTTCCCTCCCTCTCTGCTCTTACATCCTGTTTCTTTTTCTTTACCCCTTCCATCCTTCATTTTCCTGCTTTTTATAACCTTTCCCTTTATCTCATTTTCTTTGTGTCCTTCCTTTTTCTCCCTTTTGTTCCAGTGTCTTTTTATACTTCATTTCTTCCTTCCCTCCTCACATACTGTGCCTACCCCATCTTTCCTTCCTTCCTTACATGACCATTTCCTTTTATTTCCCTTCTCACTTCTGATTGGTCCATTTTTTTCCACCGGTTTCCTGTGTGACAGTGTGTCAGCTTAATTGATGTTTCTTGATTAAACTTGTTAGTGAAGTGGGAGTGAGCTGCAGCTGAGAAAATGAAGCGTCCCCCATGGGACATATCAATATGTGCTCAATCAGTCGAACAGTCAGCTGACCAACCACACAATCTGTAGCAATGTGTGTGACTTGTGCGTCTTGTTGTGATTATTCGGCATAAAAAAATTTTATGACTTTGGAGTGTTTGCTGATATTTAAAATTTGACCAATCAGCCATCTTGATTTGTTTCAGAATCACATTTATTGGCCAAGTATGTTAAAGCACACAAGGTTTGTGATGAAAGGGAGAAGAGCAGGAGGCAGGACACTCATGTCCAGCTACTGAGGAAGACCATGTGACATGACCGAAAGCTCCAGATCAGCTACAGTTAACTCAGCTGACTCGGTTTGACCAGAAGATGTAAATCTGAACTGAAACACAAACAGCTTTCACAATGTGGACATTTAATTCTCCTTTCAGTCAAACACAGTTGATAAATGAATTAGTGATTGTCTGTTTTATTAAAGTGTCAGAACAGATTTATTCTTCAGCATTCAACAACCACACCAGGTCTGACTCAGGGGGTTCATCGCTGTTCAAACATCGCTCTGTCTGCAGGTGCGACCGACGCTCTGCCACTGGGAATCAGCCAGAACTTGTCGGACTGGGTTTGATGCTGAACCCCAGCAGGAACGGTTCTCAAACGAAGCAGGACTGTGAATGCCACAGTTCAGGCACCATGTTAGGTAGCGACCAGCTGCTGAACAATATCTAGTTCGGTCTCTAACCTCTCCGCGGTGGCATCGACAGCCACCACTGTCTCTTCCTGCTTGTAAGTCAGTGCTGGCGTCATGTCATCATCAAACAGGATGGGCGGGGGTTCCTCGAGCGGGGGTTTCCCCACATCGTGCATGCGTACCTTGTGCTGCTGCAGGTTCCCGCTGCGGTTGAAGCGGGCAGTGCAGAGGTCACAGGCGAACGGCCGCTCCCCTGTGTGGATGATGACGTGTCTGGCGAGCTGCGAGCGACACTTCTTGTCTTTGCCGCAGATGTGGCAGACAAAGCTCTGTGGAAGGCGTGCTCCATTGGCGTGGACGACCTCGCGGTGCCTTTTCAGGTGGCTCAGGCGTCTGAAGCTGCGACTGCAAAACTCGCAGGCATATGGTCGGATCTCGCTGTGGATCATCGAGTGACTTGCCAGCAGGGACTTGAATTTGAAAACTTTGCTGCAGATGGGGCATGGGAACACCTTCGTCACTGCTGTCCTCTTCCTTCGCCCGGCGCCATGTGATGCATCACTGACTTTGACCTTCAGGTGAACTCGTACGTGGTGCTGCTTCAAGCAGGTGGCGCTCTGAAAGCTGTGCAGACAGATGTTGCAGCAGTGAGGCTTGTCAGCGGTGTGGATGCGAGAGTGAGCGGCAAGCAGCACTTCAGACTTTAGCCGCTTGCCGCAGACACTGCAGGTGAATGCAACCTCAGACGACAGTGCCTCCTCGCCATTCACTCGGTTGGCATGGACCAAAACCTTGTGGCGTTTGAGCTGGTGCTGTCGGCCAAACTTGCGTCCACAGATGTCACAGAGATGCGGCCGCTCGCCGGTGTGAGTCTGATAGTGGATGGACAGCTGCGACCTGCACTTAAACTCTTTACCACAGAAGTCACACAGTAGCGAGTTCGGCCGCTGAGGCTCTGTGGCGCCCTCGACGTGGACAATCTTTTTGTGGTGCTCGAGGTCATTTGTCCTCATGTAGGCTTTGGGGCAGAGGTCACAGCGGTGAGGTTTAACCCCCGAGTGGATGACCTCATGCGTCTTCAGCCTGGACCTGCAGCTGAAGGTTTTACCGCAGACCGCACACAACCAGGCCTGCACCTCGCGCTGCTTCTCCAGCTTGGCAATGCCATTGGGGTGTAGCTGGTTCAGGTGGTGCTGCAGGTTGTCACGGCGGTTGAAGCGCAAGTTGCACAGGTGGCAGGCGAAAGGCTTCTTCCCTGTGTGGATGAAGGAGTGTCGTGCCAGACTCGACTTATTCTTCATCACTTTACCACAAACATCACACATGGTGCTGTCAGGCTCCAGCTTTATCACACGAAGACGTGCATGCTGGGACTGTGAGTCCAGCTGGATGTCCCCGAGAGCCGAGGGAGACGGGTGAGAATGGACATCTGTGGGGGGAGAAAGAGTTGATCCTGAATTCAAGAAAATTTGATATTTCAGGAATTTTAGTTTGTGGTTTTGTCCTCACCTCCTTCAGGTGGAGTCCAGGCAGGATCACCCGTGTCTCCCTCTTCTACCTCTTCCTCCACCTCCTCCTCTTCCTGTTGGTCAGCATCAGGCGACACTCTGCGGCGGCGACGCTGAGGTGGGTTTTGTTTGGTGGTGTCAGAGCTCTCAGGAGGTGGTCTCCTTGGGGTCCTGGACCTGGACTGGATGAGGCTAGGGGAGAGTCTAATGGCGGGTTTGATGGTTCTGGTTCTTGTCCGTGTGGAAGTGCAGTGCTGCAGCAGAGCACCCCCGTCTGGTCCATCAGGCCGGACTGCAACACACTGCAGCAACACAGAGGACGACCCTGCAGAGAAACGGTCATGTCAGCCGTCACTACAGTTCACTCACTGTGTCTGTACTCAGCCAAACATCTTCTGTCAGGGGAGAAGCTCCACTCTGTAACACTTCTGCACAGCCCCATAGGCTGAGGGTGTCTGGTTGACGTGAAACCCCTTCTCTAACTGGGGCTCTGCAGTGCAACCGTGAAAATCAAAGGGCACTGGTGCAATTGACTGCATTTGGTGGGATGTTATCTGAACCGGTCCTCAGTTTGTATTGACCAGGAACATTTTATCACAAACATTTAACACTAATGTATTGGAAAATGTGTTTTTATGGTTTTTGCCAATCTTGTTAGCAAATTCTAAATCATTCACTTGGTTCTCAGAAAGAAAACCTGAATCGGCCAAAAAAAATTGCAAAGGGTGCAATCTCTATCAGAAAATGAAATTTTCTTTCATAAAAAGTCACAGATATGAGCTTGTGGAGACCAACCTCTCAAGGCAGATGTTAACTACAACTCCCACTGTGCATTTCAGCAAGAAACCATCCAAACATGGAGCCTAAAGTTCTGACAGGACTGGAGGACAGAACATAAACCTGTAACATCGATCGTTTCTAACATGTGACTATCTGAATCTCCACGGCAGCAGCTACCAAGGCTCATGGGTAGTGTAGTGACATGCCTGCCTGAAACATGCGGTGCACCGGCACTCACCTGAATGTGTCCAGCTGAGGTCCACCTGCACAGCAGCATCCCTCCTCTCAGCAGAGTCACTCTGGCAGCCCACCTCCCTCCTGTCCTCCTCTGGACTCTCCCACTGGCAGCCCACCTCCTTTTTCCTCGCCTCCTCCTCCTGCTGTCCTTCAGCTCTTAGCAAGAAGACACAGAGCTGGTCTCCTCCCCCAGGAGGTGCCAGGAGACCGGACGACATCTCTGCAACACCCAGGCACCAGCAAATGACAGTTCATCATCTTGTCTGTGAACATCATTTAATCACTTCATCCGGTTTGATACATGTTAATCCCGGTTTCACCATCATAGCACCTAAAGCTTAAAGGTCTGATAGACACACAGCTGGGATGACAGGATTATTGATTATTACATCACTTTGTCTTTAAGTGTATTTCAACAGCATATGACAATAAATCCTGGTTACATAATTAACCTCTAGAGTCCCTGCGTCCTCATATGAGGACCGCACAGCTTGGGTTTCCAAAGCTCAGGACTCTAGAGGTTAAAGCTGCAGTGATTGGTTGATTGACAAAGTCAATCATTATTGCCAAAACATTTACTGGTTAAATTTGGAAACGTGTTTTGTGTACTCCAGACGTTTTTGTCATTGATATATTTCCATAAAGTTGTTCCTATGGAAACTGTCCACTCCACCCCAGGAAGTAAACAGAATATCAGAACTTACAGGACCTGGCACCTTCATTTCATCTACGAAACCAGATAAATAATGATTTCACCGTCTTCTCCAACAAGACTGAGAGGACCTTAGAAACCACCACGTGTACAAACCTGGACCTGATTAACCAGTGGACCCTAGTAACTGTAACACTCAGGACCATAAACCACTACATTTAGATTTTTAAAATCTGGACTAGATCAACGGAAAGACTTAAAAACTGTCTGAAACGGGTTCAATGAACCAGGTCTTGGACCTCGACTCGGGCTGCCGTTGTGTGGATGGGGAAAACGCAGTGAAATTGACATGCTTTTAACTTTTAATAGATAAAATGTTGTGACTGCACCTGAACAGTCCACACACAGTCTCCCGTCTTCACTGGAACTACTTTCTGCTGAAGAAATAGTCCCTGTAAAACCTGTCAACTCACCAGCGTCCTCATATTAATCTGTTTCTGGATTAGTAATAACGGATAAACGACACCGTTCGTTCATATGACACCAATAAAACAAAGTGCGGGTACAGGACCGCATCTTAAAACTGGTCTCAGTCTGTTTGTGTCTACAAGAGGTCCAGAAGCACAAACCTCTCATGCTAACGTTAGCACCATGCTAACACCAGCTAACTAACCTTTCCCATCCTCGTTCAAGAACCAAACAAAACCACCCCAACATGCGTCATAAAGATGTCCGATTTACCTGGGGGCGGCGTGGCTACTACGGCGGATTTAATTTCCAGAAATGGATTTCAAAAATGAATTCAATGTTCAACTTTAGAAGAGCTACAAAATCAGTATCGATACGATAGCCAGCGCCGGAAACCACGTATCCTTCTTCTACCGTTTCTCTTCCGCTCCCGCTGGTTTTGCGCTGCCCCCGTCAGGCCAGAACACACACTACAGATCATTTCATAGTACAAACGCGTGACTTCCAAGAAAACGAGAGATGCGGGGCCACAGTCTATGTGGAGTGAACTGAGGCAGGGTGAGTAGAGACAGTATTAGGTATGTTCACCTACCTGGCCCAGTTCGCTTCCCATCTCTCTGAGATCAGCACGCCACTGCGACAGCTGCTAAAAGAGGACAGTGACTTCGTGTGTAATGCTAGCCATGACAGAGTATTTCAACAAATGAAAGACTTAATAGCTCAACAACCTGGTGCAGTATTGGCATATTTTGACCCACTGAAAGAGCTACGGCTCCAGGTGGATGCCTCAAAAAATGACCTCGGTGCAGTCATGCTCCAAGACGGCAAACCAGTTGCTTATGCATCAAAATCACTCAACAGCGCTGAATAGAACTATGCACAGATTGAGAAAGAGCTATGCGCCATACTGTTTGGTTGCAGGCGTTTCCATGAGTATGTCTATGGTCGCAAGGTCATTCTGGAGTCAGACCACAAACCGCTGGAGTCAATACTAAAAAAAACTCTCACAGCTGCTCCGCCACGACTACAAAGAATGATACTGCAGCTACAAAGATATGACATCAGTATCACCCACCTGCCAGGAAAAGACATTCCGGTCGCTGATACTCTGTCCTGGAAATCAATTGCACACCATGACCAATCCCTGAATGAGAGCATGGAAGCACATGTGCACACAGTCATGAGTAGTGTCCCTATAAGTGACAAGAGACTGGCAGAAATCGTGGATGCAACAAGCCAAGACACACAGCTCACCCTTCTGAGATGAGTGTCCCTGGACAGCTGGCCAGAGACCAGGTCATCATGCCCTCTCAGCATCCAAGAATACTGGAACTACAGAGATGAAATCGCTGAGATTGACAGAATCATGTTTAAAGGGGAGAAGATCATCATCCCCAGTAAACTCAGAAAGGCCATGTTAGAGCGCATACATGCGAGCCACATGGGAATAGAAAAGAGTAAGAACAGGGCGAGAGACATTTTGTTCTGGCCTGGCATGGGACAACAAATCGAAGCAGCTGTAGCGGCCTGCAACATCTGCCAAGAACGCTGCAAGTCGAACCCCAGAGAACCCTTAATGTCTCACCCTGTACCCAAAAGCTCATGGCAAGTCATCAGAACAGATCTGTTCACTTGGAACTCAAAAGACTACATTGTCATAGTGGACTACTTCAGCAGATATTTTGAGCTAGAGAGCCTACACTGCTGTACTTCCACATCTGTCATAACAAAACTGAAATCAGCAGTGGCAAGGCAGTGACAGTGGACCATGCTACAGCTCCCGTGAGTTTGCACATTTCACGGAAATGTGGGGATTCATGCATAACACCATTAGTCCCCACTATCCACAGAGCAATGGACTTGCTGAAAAGACAGTTCAAACAGCAAAAAAGCTACTGGACAATGCAAGAGCTGAGGACAAAGATCCATACCTCAGCCTACTAGAATATAGAAACACCCCGGTAGATAACCTAAAATCACCAGCGCAACCACTCATGAGCCGCAGACTATGTTCCATCCTCCCCACCACAGCTAATCACCTGCAACCACAAGTCACCTGTCTACGTGAAAGGAGAGAAGTTTGTCAACGCCGACAGGTACACCCATCCGTTTCTTGCAGGGAGATGATTCCTGGAAACCCGCAACAGTAACCCAGCCAACAAAGGCCAAAAGGAGCTACCACATCACCACAAACGAAGTTTAGACATTCAGACAAAATAGGCGTCACCTCAGACAGAGACACCCCAATGACAACCCAGGCGTGTGTGCAGAAGACCCTCAACACCCTGAGCCTACTAGTCTGCTCATCCAGACCCTGTGAAGCCACCAGACTTAAATATACCAACAAGCGCTCCACCACCTTGCTACATCACAAAATCAGGGTGTGTTGTAAAACCAAGACAAATCCTTGATTTGTAATTATTGTGTATAATGAAACATATTTCTTAGTACCAGTTGATGCAAAATTCAGAATTTGCACAAGCTATATTCGTCGTAAACAGCATTGTTAATATGGCTCATTGTTAATAACGTCCTTGATCTTAACCATTCAGAAACTAAGGAATTCATAACTGATTTTAGAAAAAAACAAGTATAAACCTCAAGCTAGCACTATACATGGTGATGATGTCCAAATAGTTGACAAGTACTTGGGAACCAGGTTGGACTCCCAACTCAACACATTTAATTGTCAAGGGAGAGCAACAGAGCAACTTTATTACAGAAGCTTATTTTTGATGTCTGCAACACTATTTTAGGAAATTTCTCTCCATCCTTTGTTGAAGGGCTTAACATTTTCTTTTATCTGGTGATTTAATGGGTTGTCTGTGAAGGACAGGAACAGCCTGAACAGTATCATTAAGGTCTGTTCCAAGATAATCAGAGAGACCTGTGCTCGCTCTGGGAGGAACGAGTTGTCCAGAAAGCAAAAAGAATTGTTAGCCATTCTCACCGGGTTCTGTCTGTGATGCTCTGGCCAGTGCTAAAACGCAGGCCACAGCACTATTGCAAGTCTGTCTATCCCTTCTGCTCTCAGGCTGCTGAATACCATAAATAAATCCTAGTAGTATCTGATTATGCTAGATTA